CCGATGCGGGCGACTTCTGTTGAAAAGCCGCTGCACGGTCCCGATAGTCTCGTGGAGAGAGGGTGGGAGTTCGAGTTTGATGCTGCATTTGCGATTGGTATGTTGTCTAGCCGTTGAGCTAGCTCACTGCTGAAATGGAGATCGTGAGCTGGCAAAGACAACAGGGCAATATTTAGCTTACCTGGGGGTCGTTTACCTGGACGTCTCCTGTCATGTCCCATTGTCTGCGTCTAGCGCCTTCATGCCACCGTGGAGCCGACGCATCATCTGATCTAATTCTTCTCGTTCTCACACTGTCACTTACGCCACCGTCGTTTATCGTGCCCAAGATCAAAACATAAGCCTGTATTTTATATGACCTTGTGCAGTTTTCAAGCAGTGCGATTTTGCCGATGTTTGCCTAACCCTGATCGACAACACGCTCTTAAGCAGACTGCGTTTGAAGCACAGCCGCTGAAAGACAACAATTCCACACCACCATCTGGATCACCTGTGGCTACATCAAGCTTCAACAAAGGGCTAACGTAGTTCAGGGCGGCAGTCGCTGTGAGACGAAAGAGAAGATGGAGAAGAGAGTGCGTCATCCTCTTCTTTCACAGGAATCGATGCCCCACCCTGATAGCACGCAACGCGTGCGTGCCTGCAATCTGCGCATACGAAAGCCCACCCAGCCAGCTCCCTCCCTCCCTCCGCATCGGATCAGTAGATTTTAGTACTAGTCGGTGCACCTGAAGTGGCGTGATCTGCTCGCGTCTGTCACTTGGTTTGTGAATAATGACGACAGGAGCCCTAATGCAATGAGTGCAACATGCGTAAGACGTAACACAGAGCTGCAGTTTTGAAACCAGCTCGCGGAAATTTACCTGACATATAAATTTTGTGCCATAACTGAAGGTAAAACCACTGTATAGTCCTAAATCGCCTACCCGTTAGAACCAACAGCCCCTACAGTTTACAGAATATATTTCCTAAAGTCTCACACATCCACGTTGATTGAATTGTTAAACATCGGTGCCACGGTGGGACTGGAACCCACGACAGCAAGGGTTTAACTATGTCAAGTAATCCATATCTCCTTATTTTGACTGGCAAGGCGAGCCTTTTGCAGCTTGGCTGACTATTTTCGACATTGCCGTATTAAACTCAAGTACACAGGCGAGTCATTTTGACACGCATATGAAATACTCGGCGCCTCGGTGGGGCATGAACCCACAACAGCAAGGGAAAGCCTTAGTACAGCCAACGCTCTAGCCAACAGAGCTAAAAGGCTCCACCGGACGACGCTACATTAGTCGTATCTGTCATAATACCTATGCATTACCTATATGTATAGCGTTGTATACCTATATGAAATACTCGTAGCCATCTGGTGGATTCTAGATGTATTACTTAGGAAATACTGCCTGGGCAGTCAAATTACTGTGTCAGATTTGGTGGATTCCACAGGTTGCAGTAAGTTGGGCGGGAAACTCGCGTCGTCCGGCGGGGCCTCGTAGCTCAGGTGGTTAGAGCGTTGTCTGTACTGACGCCTCCCCCTTACTGCGTGGGTTCGAATCCCACCGAGGCGCCAAGTTTTTCGCAGTTGGGTAAATATGGATTATTTAAAGTTTGCCAAAATATCTAGGAATATATTTTCTAAAGACTCACACATCCACCTCGATCGAACTGCAAAAACTCGGTGCCATGGCGGGATTTGAAGCCAAGACAGCAATGGTTTAACTATGTCAAGTAATCCATATCTCCTAATGTTGATTCGCAAGGCGAGCCTATTGCAGCTTCACCGACTATTGTCGATATCGCCGTATTAATCTCAATTCCACAGACCAATTATTTTGATACCGATATGAAATACTCGACGTCTCGATGGGGTCTAAACACACGACAGCATAGGGGAAGCCTTAGTTCAGCCAACGCTCTATTAACGTGTGCTACGAGGCTCCATCGGACGACGCTACAATTATCGTATCTGCCAAACTACCTATGAATTACGTGAGTTTCGTAGCCATCAGGTGGATTATAGATGTTTTACTAAGGAAATCATGCCTAGACATTTAGCTTACTGTATCAGATTAGGTGGATTCCAAACGTTGTTGTAGATCGAACGGGTAAACTTGATTTAGATGTGATTAAACTCGCGTCGTCCGGTGGGGCCTCGTATCTTAGGTGGCTAGAGCGTTGGCCGTACTAAAGCCTCTCTTTGCTGTTGTGGGTTCGAATACCACCAGTTAGGCTTAGTAGCAACTTCGGAGAATGAAACCAATTATTTTTCAGAAGTAAAGAATTCTTAGCAGTGTCATTTTGATGTGAGGAGAATCAGTCGATCGCTGGAGCGCGAATAATGTTCACTTGAGTTTCGCGATACCTTTCTGATCAAGGACAGCAACATATTGAATTTGTGGACGTACAGCGGTTGAAATATTTATAAGCTGCAATTCCTATACTATCATGCGCATGTTTATAATTATAACGCCCGCATTCACTGTAGCTTTTCGTGATTCGTTTGACGATTTCCTGAGTATATATGTTTAAATTGTGACTGTCCGCGATCTAGCTGTTTTTTTTAAACAGTAACATAATCCTTGGTTCGAAAAACTGACTTTGGCGATTCTATGAATTTAAAAACTGAAATTTTTGTTAGAAACGCGGTCTGCCTGCAGACTGAAGTCGACACAATGTTGAAATTTGCTGAGTGCCCCTTTGCAATTAATGCCTAACAGACTCCGATCAGATCAGATTGGGAAAGTTGAAATATCCGGTTTGATTATTTGAGGAAGAAGAAGATCGGCTCACCAAAACAGGTTTATCAAAATGCTGACATTTCGAGGAACTTGGTCGGCTTTCCATTTTCAAAGCGTAAAATGCACTTAATCGACCAGAAATCCCAAGTTACGTCTCACATTGGAGGCCGATCAACGTGGCTGGACTTCGTGTAACTATGTTCGGTGAAACACTCCTGTAGATTGTCGAATCCGCACTAATTTAAACTCGGAATGGCGTGTTTCGTTGTTAATCACAACTCCATCGTATTTGTTTCACTTTGAATGTAAAAAGGCTTCTGACCGCAAATTACCGATATTTGCAATGACTGATTAATAACGCCTTCTTCGTCGGAGGCTATCATGTAGGTATACAGAAGACTGCCGTTTCTCTTTGGAGCAACTTCGGAGAACGAACCCATTTAATTTTCAGAAGTGGAGCTTCCTTAGCAGTGTTAGTTTACTGTTAGGAAAATCACTCGATCACTTAGGCGAACGTTATGTTCACTAGAGTTTTCAAATACATTTTCGAACTAGGGCAGCAACAAATTGAAGTTGTGAGCGAACAGAGGGTGAAATATGCATGGGCTGAAATTCCTTTAATATCGCACGCATATTCTTAATAATAACGTCTGTACTCCTGCAAATATTCGCACTCCGTCTGATGACCTGTCGAGTAGATATGTCCAGACTGTGACTGACGGCGATCTACCCGTGTTTTAAGTAATAACACAGTTCTTCGTTTTTATAACCGAGTCTGGCATTTCTGACAGCGGGAACTGACATTTTTGATGGAAATGTGGATATCTATCAAGGACAAAGTCTACGTATGTCTGAAAGTTGGACCCAATGTTGGCATTCCCTAAATGCACGTTTCCAGTTAACGCCAAACAAACCCGATCTAGCCCGCGTGTTGGTCCAGCGCATCTAATGCCTGACCGATCTCAGGGACACTGTCATTGTTCGGTGACGCACACACGCAACGATTGCGCATCACGCCACTGACTACCTGCTGTCAAGGTCATCTAGGGGCGCTTCTGCCCGCATTCAGCATTCGGCCATCTGGCGAAATCTGCCAGCTGCGTCATCCATCGAGCGCGATCGATTTTCTCTCGGCAGGCTCGCAGGCCGCCTCACTGTCCAGGGGCCACCAACTCGAGATGCGCCCCTGATGACTGACTGTCCATCTGGTACGCAACAAGAAGCAGGGCCTTCCCACGTAGATAGTGCCGATTCAGTTAATCGTATCTCTGGTTGCAACCAAATCACAAGCCAGGGTTATGTTTGAACATGCGTTTTCTTAAATACCCTTGACATCATTCATGTGAGCTCGTCGTGCTCGGTGAAATCTTTGCTAAACATAAATCCCGAGACAGCCCAACCGCTATACCTTTTTCAGAGGAAGAAAGGTATCACTTTTCTGCTACGGAGACAGCGTACATGCCGCCGACATCTTCCGTCGACCGAATATTAAGGAATGTAACTTTCAATGACATATCAGGTCACAATCACTTATGCCGAATCCCCTTGATAGAGACGTCCGATAGCAACTCACACACCAGTCTATCGCATTTCGCGGGGGTGGACAAATTTGCTTTTGGAGTGGGAAACTATTAGGACTTGTTGACATCTGTCCTAATTCATAGTGCCAGGTCCGCCGTCTACGCTTTAACTGTTCCTGTAGCCTGTCGCCTCAGTAAGTAGTACGTGTGCCATTCACATTAACACACAAGCTCCCCGGTCTGCGATCTTACTAGTGTTGCTCACTTCGTCAGCAAGTGGGCATCTCTTTGCTAAACTTACCTCGACCACATCTATCATTCCTCGAAGAGATATGCTAGAGATTAGTTTGTCACCCCAAGTGTTGGACACTTTACACCCTTTTGGTGTTTTTTTTTAACAAAAAATTGGAGGCCATGTTTATTAACCCCGCTTGGGACACCTGGCGGTGAGAACATCTCCACCACTAAGTCTAATTCGTCTCCAGTATCATACCCGCTGGCGACAATGATTTCTCTCCATAATCAAGCATTAATCCCGAAAACGAGCATCTCCCTCGTAAAAAATAACTGGTTCATGCATTTCATTCCCTTCAGAGATAATCACGCCATTAATCGGTTGCCTTAGGTGTTGGGCACTGCACACCCTTTTGACGTTTTCAAAAAACGACAAAACAGGTTAATTTGCAAGTCGTTTATTTCTTAACATGTGGGTCATAGAAGGAACATCAAGAAACGCAGAAGTTTACATGCGAATGCTTGCAGCGCCAGCGATCTTTGCGAGCGTCTCCAGTGGTTTCTTCGACGACCAGCTCCAAGCTGTCAAGTCGTTGCTGACATCAGCTGGCCCGCCTGGTGCTGTGAAAGTCTCCACCGTGTTTCCTGATCCAAACCAGCAGCCTGCAAATTGTGAATAATTCCAGTGAAATTCTATCTTCATAAATATCAAAATAGACAAAATTAGCATACAATTTGCACAAAACCGCTAGACAAAAAATTATTTTAATAAAACTCTGAGTAGACAAAGTAAGCTTTGAACGCAGTATCAACTGAAGACGCTTTAACCAGTCGGCTGCATAATTCTCGTAAAAAGATCTACTTTAATAAGCAAACGATTTGCACTACAAACGGACTACCATCGGCTCTAACCACGTTGTGTTTACGAAACGGCATGCGACGTCACATTTTCACATGCCTGCCATCAGACGGACTGTCTTAATCTTCCTCAGAAAAAGGGATTACGCAGAAAAGGACATGAAATGGCATGAAAGAGAGAGGAGAGAGTGGAGAAGGAATGCAGTCAGTGTAGAGCAAAGAAGGAGGAGGCATCATTACCGAGAGCAAAGATGGCGTCGTCGGTGGAGGTGAGAAGAGCGAAAATCGCGCGGGGTTCCTTCATGCCGGCCAAGTCTGTCCACTGGCCCTGGGGACACCTGGCGTCTGGTGGTGTGAACATCTCCACCACGTTTAATCTCTTTCCACCATCATATCCCCCGGCGACAATGATTTTCCCCCGAAAGTGTGTCGCTGCCAGCCGTGATCGTGCAGTTCTCATGGGTGCGGCTGGCTGCCAAAAGTCCGACGAGGTCGCCCTCTGTCGCCAGTCTGCTCGCAGGTGGCAGAACTCCACCGAAGCCAGCACGGAGGTGGGGCCATTCCAGCCGCCAAAAACGAAGATTCGACTGTCGCCGGGCAGGCAGGCAGCCGCCGGGCAGTTCCTCTTCTCTCGCAGATCAGGCAGTTTGAACCACCTGTGTGTGTTGGGGAGGAGGAGGAGAAGACGAGTGAGAAGGCAAAACAGGAAAAGTTTGCAAGAAAAAAGAAGGAGGCGCCAGGACGAATGTGCTCTCACCTGTCCCGACTGACTTCATAGACTTCACAAGAGGAAAGGCGACCACCGTTACCGTATCCACCGAAAACGCCGATCAGCGCCTCCCCTCCGGCTTCCGTCAGGACTGTGGCTGCGTGCTTGTTGCGTCCAACGGCGAGGGACGCCCGTTTGCGCCAGCGCCGTTCTGCCACCAGAAACTCCTCGACACTCGTGGAGTCTTCCTGTTGCGCAGTGTTTCCTCCAACCACGAAAATGCTCTCTTCCGTGGGGGTGGGGTGGAGTAGAAAAAAGTTTCATAAAATTACGCGGAGTAAAGATAAAGTGGAAAGATGAACGAAGATAGGAAAGATAAAATAAAAAAACAAAAAAACGCGTCGGTACAGGCCAGGCGAATGGACAACTCCAAGACCTCAAAACCCCTGAATTACTGCTATTACTGCTGCAATCCTATGCATTCTGCGGCGATGGCAGCTGTACTGGCAGAACTGTGTGTTTGTTATAATTCCGGCAAAAAGGAGACACCAACTGGTCAAATTAGACAAAAAAGGAAAACAAGGCAGGTGCGCAGAAGAGGCGGTGCGTAACTGTCAGGCAACTCACCGCCCACGAGACTGTAGGAGGCCCATTCACGCTTCTCCATGTCAGCAATCCTCTCTTCCTTTTCGAGGTGCGGATCAAAACGCAGAACAGACCACCTGTCCTGATTTTTGTCCTTTCCAAATACGAAGAAGAAGATCGTCCTATGCGTTCTCCGACGTCGGTTGAAGGGACACGGAGGTTTGTCCTTGTCTGCGTAGCACATCCACTGCTCCACCAGAGCCATAAAACGACTTTCATTAGAAAATAAATGACGAACTGGAACAGCATATACTTACGCACAACTGATGCTATCCTGGAAAATTGGATGACTATCGACTAGGCGATTGCGAAATTGGAGAGTCGTCTGACACCAACGAACCTCCTTTAGCATTTCCGGGGCGTGCAATCTCAGTCTCTCATTGTCGCACTCTTTATCGCCGGCAGCCACCCAGCTTGAAATCGCCTCAAAAACTGCCTCTTCGGAGTCCACTGACAGATTGTCGTTTCGCAACAAAGTCAGCACGGTGTCAGCTGGCAGACGAATAAAGAGGTCAGTAGAGACGAAATTCGTAAACTGCGCTTGCATCAGATTGATGCAAGTCTCCATCAGGGATCCCATGCGCATAGATTTGGCAAAGTCCCATGTGGTTGCCAGATTTTCTAAATTCACTCTTTACAGCCGACAGTTAGACAGAAAGAACCGGCACTTGCTTACCTACTGGCCATGAATTGCACTCCCCAATTCTCCAGATTAGACAGTTTCATCATTTTGGCAAACATCACTATGGCCATCGCATTCGTTTGGGTCACCTCCAACTGCCCGGTGTACACATACTGGAGGAGTGAATTTGCGAGGCTAGAAAGTGCAAAAGCAAAATCAGAGAAAGGAGGATGACTTTACTTCAGAGGCACCGTCGGCCATTTTAGCACCGAATTATCCTTCCCGAGGGCGCCACTGAGAGCAGCTCGCAATGATGGAATTCGAGCCGCTAGTATTATTCGATGGGCATTGAGAATAGCGCCGTGCTTCACCTAACAAACACGAACAAATTTTCGTGTAAAGAACGGCAACAGAAAAGACAGCTACCTCTATGACGAGCTCTTTCAATTCTCCCGACGCGCGAATCTCGTTGAGGGCTGGACAGCTACGAACCAGGGGGACTGCGTCCTCGAATACTTCGACGTCTGCGAGTGCCATTGCGAGTGATAACCGGAACAGGAGCGACGAATGATCTCGACTGCCATTAGCACTGCCTCTTATAGTGCCAGCACACTTTGAACCCGCCCGCACGCACTCATGACCTTCAGGTCCTGATTGGCCGATTTCAAAGTGCGGATTCGATTGGGCGATAGTCGGCACAGTTATATGGCGTAATGCTTAGGCGAGAACCCCCGAGTTATTTTTATTGGTCAGGGCTACGTGGGCTAGACACCGCCGATGGCGCACTTTCAAAGCCAAATGGACTGACATGTAACTTGCTAATGAGGACACCGTCTGCGAAAATTCGATTATTGCCACTGGGTTTTGGTTCGTTTTGTGCTGATAAAGAGAGTTGGTGAAAACCGCATGGTGGCTGAGTGGGCTTTCCTATGTCCATGCGGAAAAACGAGCAAATAGAGTAGTTCACATAGAATAATTTTAAAGATAGTCATTCAATAACCTTCGCAAATAAATACCCAAAGAGAATACGTAACGTCAATTACGACATTTACCTACAGTACGTGACCAATCTCGTTAAACCTGATCACGGAAACTTATGTGACAATTTTTGGACGTCTTAAAAGTTACGCATTTTGCTTGCTTATTCGGCCCCTTCAATGAAATGTCCTTCTCTTGTGCAGAAATTGTGTTTACACAATTATATCCAGCAAAATACTAACTATTATTTTTTAGAAAAAATGAACAGTGCAAAATATTCGTGCCATTTCATATGCTAATATCTGTCCTAGACTTCGGTTGTGCATTTGAGCGTGTTTCACATTAAAAGGAGACTAATTGACTCGCGGGAGTTTTAATAAGCAGGGGTTTGCGGACTTGAGAATTTGTTTTATGTCCGATCCTAACCGTGCTAATCAATTTGCTCACACAAAGGTCATTTTAAAAGAACCAAATATTTTAACCATTTTTAAAAGGTCATATTAGCAGGTCAGTGCGACTTGGTGCCCTGAAGTGCAGTAATAACGCAGACAGGGATTCCTTCGTTTAAATGGGCTGACATTGTTTTGCCGTTTAGAGGATTTAACGTTATGTCACAGAAATGACCACTACCAAATGGCCATTTCCAGTCTTGAAGATAAGAAACATTCCTCGAAGAACGGAGTCTAAGCGCCAGCAAAAACAATGAAAATGGTCGCAATATATAGAGAAAGATATAGTCTTGCGTTTACGGAAGAAACATATCAGAATGGTTTAGGAACGTGAAAGAAACGGCCAAAATTGTCATATTTTTTCTTGGCCTCACCGTGCAAAAGT